GCAGCAATACTCTTCAAGGTCTTTGTGACCAGCATGGATAGTAGGATTGAGTGCAGTCTCAGCAAATTCATTGACAGCAGCACTCTGCCTAGTGAAGCCACCACACTGGAGGAAGGGATGCCACCCTGAGAGAACATGCTTTGGCTGACACAAACTTCATGATCTTCAAAAAAAGTGAAGTGCAAGGTCCTACTTGCTATGGTTTAGCAATGCTATTTCCAACTTAGTCTTCCCACCAAAGCACTTCAAAATATGAGCCACCCAACCACACACACCTTTCCCTCCCTCCCTACCCTCGCCTCCCTCCCCCCTCCCCCAGAAGGACAGAGAGCAGAACTGGAGACACAAAAGGTAAAGATCACAGTCTGAGATAAGACAGTTTACCAAAACCAGCAATGAGATAAGAAGATCAGCAGTAGCAACAACAGAGTCTACAAGATAGGTGAATGAATGACCCACACACAGGTGATCACCATGGAGAACCTGGTGCTGTCCTGACCACTTGCTTCATCACTGGTCTGACTGGAAAAGAACCTTTCCCCCTTCACCATCTCCTGCACATGAGGTGAGGTAGTATAGAATAACCTCAAGGTCCTGGACATGCCCTCCTGGCTACACCAAAAGTTAACCCTGTCCTGGATGGCACCAGGACATTTCACCTGAGCTAGGGCAATTCCAGACACATACAGGTTGGGTAGAGAAGTTATTGAGAGTAGTCCTACAGAGACTTGGAAGAGTTGGTGTATGAAAAACTCAATACTAGCTGGAAGTGTTCACTTGCAGCCTGGAAAGCCATCCTGGGCTGCATCAAAAGGAGAGTAGCCAGCAGGTTGAAGGAAGTGATTCTGCCCATTACTCTGCTCTTTTGAGATCCTAACTGGAGTGCTGCACACAGTTCTGCTGTCCCCAAAGTAAAGACATGGAACTGTTGGAGCAAGTCCAGAGGAGGCCATAACATTGGTAAGAGAACGGGAACATGTGCCCCACGAAGACAGGCTGAGAAAGTTGGGGCAGTGCAGCCTGGAGAAGAGTAGTTTACATGGAGACCACAGAGCAACCATCCAGTATCTGAGTGGAGACTACAGGGAAGCTGGGGAAGGATTTTTCATCAGGAACTGTAGTGATAGTAAAAGAAGCAACGGGTACAAATGGAAAGAGACAAAATCTTGGCTAGGCATTTGTGGGAGACCGAAATATTTGCAGTTAAGTACTCAAACTATAATCTATTTGCAAAATGGCAGGGCACTTTGCTAAGGGCAGCTTTGCATTTCCCAGAAAAAGAAGAGGAAGGATGAGTGTGTGGATTGGGTGTGTGGTGTTCTTATCTGCATAAGAACAGCCCAGGTACAGAGGGAGTGAGCACCCACCACCAGAGAATGACAAACCAACATTTATTCAGAAAGGAACTGTTTGTTGAAGCAAATAAAGGAAAAGGCTGGTAAGAAACAGATCCTGTGGAGATGGGATAATGCGTTTTATCAGGCCAATTTCCTCCCTTGCACAATTGTCTTAGGTGTAAACCTTTCTCTTGAAGGAGGTACTGGGACAGTCACATAGGCCTGAAGGTATTTCCTCTGATACGCATAAGTGGCTTAACCACGCTGATGAGAGAAACAGAGCTCATGTCTTAAAAGGGACCATAAACCATCCAAGACCATCCTGACTGACTTCTAGGGCCTTCCACTGCAGGACTGTGCACAACCCAGTGTTGGAATAGACAGTGTAAAACTACTCCCACAGGGGAGGTGCCTGAGTGCTCTCACCTGAACCTGAATTTATATTAACCTGTTGAAGTCTACTTTACAGAGGCTTCCCCCACACCCACAGATCAAGACTGCAACTATCACTTTGATCAGAAGACACCTAAATTGCAACAATCAAGTCACTTGCTGGATCCACGAGGTGGTGATATCTTCCCTTTCCACTACAATGGAGGCATCCAGATTGTGGTTGTGCACTGGAACAGGCTCCCCAGGAAAGTGGTCACAGATCAAGCCTGACAGAGTTCAAGAAATGTTGTAATACTCTCGGGCACATGGTCTGACTTTCTGGGATGACTCTGTGCAGGGCCAGGAGTTGGACTCAATGATCCTTGTGGGTCCCTTCCAACTCAGAGAGATTATACATATGTATGTACATATACATATACATATGCATATACATATACATGTACATGTACATGTACATGTACATGAACATGCTGGTTATTCAGTGTCACTTCACTCAAATCTTCCCCAAGTGACTGATTGACCAGAACCTCAGGTGACCTGTATTCAGGGGTGAATAGTAAAAATAATAGGAAGAAATTATAAATAATAGGAAGGGTGGTTAGACACTGGAATAGACTTCCCAGGCAGCCTGGGGATGCCCCAACCTTGGCAGTGTTCAAGTTGGATAAGGCCTTAAGCAAGCCTGCTTTAGTAGGCGGTGACTGTGCTCATAGGGTGAGTTGGGACTCACCCTATGAGCACAGGCCTTTAATATGCCTTCCTACCCTTAATATTCTATGATTGTATGAATCAGAATAAAGTAATAGATTAAATAATGCATGAATGATGGCATATTGTGATATATATGCTTCATTCAGCTCTCTTCTTTTTTTTTTTTCCTCATTTTTGGCCTTCAGTAAATCTGTGGTTGGCTATAAAGGAATGAAGGTATGGGACAGGACCTGTTTTTATGAACAAATGCTGCTTGCAAATTAGAGGGTCAACAGAACAAATGCTTTAATCTTTTGCTCCTTTCATCTGTAACTTTCTCACTATGTGTCAGGAGAACATTCATCTTTGAATAAATGATCATTGGAAAAGGCAAACTAATCAGATGTTTTAAAGCTGGTGTTATATATTTCTTCAGTGCACTGTGAACTAATAATGTCACTAATAGTAGTGAAAAAACAACTGCAGCAGAAGAAAGACAACATTTTGAGTGTTAGAAGTTTATAGAAGGAGCTTTTCTTTTCAAAAAAGAAATTGCTCCTTTTATGGAGTAAAATTCAGTCTACAAAATATGATTTTGATGCTGTTTGACTCTTTGGTGTTACCAAAGTCATAGCATGTGCTTATGTAACTTCAGTGTACCAGAGGAAGAGTTTAGAAAGGTAATTATTGGATGGTGTGAATTACTTCAGACCAAATTACTTTATTTGCTACAGTAACAAATGAGAAACCTCAGGGACTACCATTCTTCAATGTATATAGTTTTCATTTTAGCTGCACACATTTTAGAATGACTGGCCTTCTTTATCTTAGCTGGCACTTGGAATGTGTGTGTTTTCCCAACCACAATAATTTTTTAAAATCTACTGCTAGTATCAATCTCACTTGACAGATAGTATTCCAAAGTGATGATGATTAAAGTTGGTAGATGAATAAGCAAAGCAGAGTATGAGGCCTGGTCTACAGGGCAAATAGGCCATAAATGAGAAAATACTTTTGACACATAAATTACATTTATAAAAGTCACACCTTACAAACCAGATCATCTCACCACAAGATTCGGTCTCTAGGTCTCAGAGAAGTGCTTGCAACTTTGTCATGCAAAATTAATGGGAGACAGGGACATGCACCAAAACAAGAAAAGAACCTTTAGGCTTACTAAAATCGTGTTCTCTGTTATATAACAGGTGTCTTCAAAAAGGAAGAGAAAAGCAAAACACTACTTGAAACATTTTCTAGTTTAATTTCACAAACAACTGACAGCTTTTTACCAAATTTGGCGCAATAATTAAAGTGTTTAGTCCCTGAAAGTACATGCTGATAACATGATTCCTTAATTAAGGCATTATGAAATCAACTCTCTAATATTATATAATATAATATAATTACTGGAGCATTAACTCAGATGCCTTATTCAAGTCTGTAGAACAGTTTCAATGGATCCATATTCCATAAAATGGACTAAGAGCTGAGAAAAATCCACCACTTGGGCAAAAATATTTTATGCTGAATCACTAGGTAAAGACCTTAATTGCTATTTTTTAAAACAGAACAGTTGCACACATTGCAGTTAGATACTGTGGTGTTGAAAATGGTCCATGGAATATAATAAAAAGACTTCTAAAATTCAAAATATTAGAAATTCCCAAAAACCAGAGGACTTCCCCCTCCCCACTGCCTCAAGCACCCAGCCATCAGTGCCTCTTAGCAACCCAACAGGAAAAAATCCACAAGTAACAAGGAAAGAATAGGAAAGGAAAAAACCCAAACCCCAACAAAGTTTTTCTCTGGCTCACAGACCTCCTTGGCTAATTGCATGCGCCACTTGGGTCAGTATTTTTAAGCACATAAAGATGCCTGCATTTTCTACGAGGAAGAAATGTACTTAACTCAAGCTCCTGGTTTATATTTCTGGATAGTAAGTTGGGTTGGTTTTTTTCTTATAATGCCTCATCCAGTGTTTCTAGGTTTCTTAGTTTTTTGACATCTACCCCATTCTCTTCTGTTCTGTTTTCTTAGCTATTTCTTTTACATTTAGCACTCAAAAAAGAAAGTCAAAGGATATTTTGATCAGTGGAAATCCTGAGTTTAGTGGTTTTATTAATTTTGTAGTGTTGGATTGTGTAAACAGGTGTTACTTTCATTTGTTGTGCCTTTGGCATAGCTTTTGTCTCCTCAGCAGTGCTCCTCAGACAGGCATGCTGGCAATCTGACGGCATCATGTCACTTCAGTGAGGGAGCAGGATGTGCCCAGAAGCTCACCATGCACTACATCTACTACAGAAGGCAAAAAGGTCATTATTGTATTAATTTTTATAAAGTGAAATGCATGAAACAGGATCCTCAGAATTATTTTTTGTACCAGTAAGTGCTATAATTTTAAAATTAATTTGATTTGAAGATTTTTGTCTCAATTAGGAATTATACTTTTAAATAAGAAAGTCAGCTGCCTGCTCTTTGACAGAGAAGACCTCCATAAAGTTTTTAATATGACGCTAGATCCTAAAATCGGTGTGGATTAGCATAGGTCTCCTTAATTAAAAATGGATATCAATGGAATACCTTTCCTGAAGGTAGCAGCTGTGAAGTGTAGCAAAGAGTGATCAAGCCACATCCCAGGAGAGGCAGGTTTTGGAGATTTTATTTACTAAACTCTTGCAAATATTTCCTTAGCCAGGTGATAACTTCCACTTCAGAAAGATTCATAACTTCTCCAAGATGAGTTTCTCCAAGATGGCACGTGTTAACCCTTGGGAGTAAAGAGCTCAATCCATAAAATTCTGACTTTTTCCAACTCTGAGGCTTCTCTGTATCTGAAAGAAATAAAAGATTGGCCCTTTATAAAATTTATTCTAAGACAACTGAAGAATACAAAATCCCCAAACACTTGGCTAATAAGAGACAAGGTAATAATTTTGAGGCCTTTTTCACTCATTTTTTGTCAGAATTAAAATGCCTTGTTACTCACAGTCTCAGTGCAGGGCAAAACTGGAGAAAAAGTCATTTGATGGTTTTCAGCTATATATTTCTCTTCCAAGTGAAATTTATCTTTTCTTCTGATAAACTTGTGAATTACTTAAAAATTGTCATGTCTTTCCTACACCTGTGAATACTGAAGCCATTTAAGAGAGATGCTTCAAGCTAAACTGAAAGGTAGTGGAAAAGAAAAGGTAGTAATTCAAAGCTTTGTGGTTTTTAGATCCTTCCTAATTCACTAGATTATGAGACTATGACACCTTCCAGATTTCTTAATCTGTTTTGGCATCAGGAATTAAATTGTAAAATTTTTCACGTGTGATCTAAATTAAAACAATGCCACACAGCTTTAAAGATGCACTCACAATGAACAATGACCTTTTACAGATTATTTAAGGTGCTTACCCATTTTTGGTATTTGCTTTTTTTCACATATTTTTTTTTCTCCTTCTCACTGACATCCCAGCCTAAAGCAAGTATTCTTTAGCTAAATCTGGGACAAAATGTGGGCAATAATCTTATGTCTTTGAGAGGACAACAATAATCTATTCACCACAAAAATAATTCCCTCTAAAGGGTACAAACACCAGGGTTGAAATAAATTCTGGTACCCTATGGCAACAAAGCTACCTTATTTTTTTAGAAGGGAAGGAAATTTTGTATTATTTTTATTGATACCTCTAACTTTATTAACAAGACCAAAATTTTAAATTTCTCTTTTATATTGCACTTCAAGACATTTTCCCAACACTTTTTCTACAGTTTAGCATATGGGAAGCTATAAGGAGCCTTCTACACTACCCTTGTGAAGTCACATATAAATAATCTGACCCATCTCTAATGTGTAGCTGGCAACATCACTCTGCATAACTTCATCTCTGTCTATTTTTCCATAATGCCAGTGTCACATGCACTAACTGAAAAAATATGAAACATGATTTAGGGTGTTGTCCTGGTTCAGGGCAAATTTGGGAGGGAACTCCCAAAGGGGTTCTTCTAGAAGACAGATTCAATCAGCCCCTCCCCCAGCTGGTTTGGAAAAATACCTCCTTAGAGAAAAGTGAAAAAGACCTGTTTATTAAAGAAGGAAGCCTAAACAATATTAAACAATAATACTTCTTGCTGGTCCAAAAGAGAAACAAACTCAGAAAAATCCCCCCTCCCTGGGCTGCTGCAGCTTGGCTCACTCAGTCTCCAATCAGTCCCTCCTGTGCTGGAAATGCCACGGCCCAGGCACAGCCCAGTGGGCCACAGGTGAGAGCTGCTGCTGCTCTTCTGGGTCCAGAGCAGGCTTGAACAGATCCAAAGAAAAGGAGAAAAAACAGCCCAAGCATTTTTTTTGCCTCTACTAGCTAAAACTAACTAGTAAAGCAAAGGAGAGCTCTGTCTCGCTGTCTGTCTGTCCTCAGACAGCACAGTCCAGGAGCAGGAATGTGGAGGAGCGAGTGCAGTTTCTGAAAACAAACTGTGCACTTCTTCTCTTCCCCTCTTTGCTCTCGGAACCAGTCTTAAAGGTGCAAAACTTATTATTCAACATAAACAGAACAGATGATTGGGGATAAAAGCGTCATACAGCCAACCCAGGATGGCGTCCTCTTAGAGTAGACTGTATTCTCTCTTTCTTCTTTAGTTCAACAGCTAAATGGAATAAAAGAGTTCAGATTTATTGCTTCCTAGTGATTTTCACTTTCCCCCCTCCCCCCTCACCAAATATAACTGCAAAAATCCTTAAAATGAAACAAAAACCTAGGAAGTTTTTAATTCAACTATTTAATTTCTAGTATGTGGGATGGACAGCAAGCATTTAGTAGTTATGCCATCCTAAGCAAGAACCTTCAGTTGCTGTTCCACCAGACTGTTTGTGTGCCACCAGAGTGGATCAGGGAGCCAATATGGCTGGAAAATAACCCTTTAAATCATCACTCCACATAATTCTGTTTTCCTGAGAACTGAGGGGATTCAGAATTTTCAGAACTTTCAGGATGGTGTTCTAGCATATGAAGTTCCACAGCCTGTGCTGATTTTAGTCCCAGCAGGGCAATAAAATTCCAAACAAGCCACTCCCTTTCCCAGTCCCTTTCAGTAAGGAAGGGACAATAAATGAAAAATTATGAGTTGAAATAAAAAATTACTAGTACACAGTACTAGTACTAAAACCACAGTAATAGCAGCAGTTTTAATTACAAGAGTACAAAAAAGAGAAGGTGATTTACCCACAAAAGGGTATTCACCACTGTGAATAAAGAAAAAAAAAATCTTCTCAAAGATGGTTCTCACGACACCAAATCTCTGCGGGTCTGTGTGTGTGTCTGAAACACTTCTGCCAGGATGCTGTCCCTGGAGGCTCAGACGTGCCTCAGAGCTGTCCATTTCAGCACCATCCTGCTCCAGAGGAAAGACTGGCAGCAGGAAGGAACAGCAGGTGGACAGCAGAAGGAACCAAGTTCACCAGGGTTTTAAGTCAATAGTCCACTCCGCTCCAGCAAATCTGGTCAGAAAATCTTCTGGTTTCTGGTGCCCAGCTTATCCTGCTGAATGCAGTGAAGATGTTGGTGGTACAGAATGAACACCGTGATCACACCCACACAGCACTAAAAACCTCCACCCCTGTCCCTGCAACCAGGCCACCACTACATTCAGTTTCCTCTGGTAGAAAAATACTGGATTTGTGCACCATAAACTGGATCTGGAACAACTAAGAGAGTCTAAAACTATATGTGAGCACCTATTATATGTTAAATATGCATTGGCCAAGTTTTCTGAGGCACCTGGCAAAGCAAGAGAGAAAGAGTAACTCTTAAGATTCCTTATTGGAGAAAAAAAAAAAGAAATTTTGTATTATTAATTATTCTTGTGTCAGCTAAGAGCAGTTCATGTTTTTATATACCCAGCCTAGAACATTGATTACAATGGATTAAGGTTCTGTGAAGCACATTGGTCTGTGAATAAATAATCTTCACTGCTTGTATATCCTCCTTCTGAAAGTGAAAAAAAATATTTTTCTGCCACCTCGATTTAGATGGATAACAGCTTTTGAGCTTTTATCCTTTGTAGTAGGAGGATTCTTCAAACTTCCATTGCATTTACCAGCATAGCAAAAACTGAAACTGAAATTTTACTGAAAAAATCACATAAATATGATAAATGCTGTCTGTATGGTGTTTTAACAAAACCATTCCCCAAATAATTTTTCTAGATCTTTTAATTCAGACAGTTCAGATGCTAAAAATATCCTTTCAAAAAGATATATAAAAATGGCTAATTAAAAAGAACTTCTGAATTTATTTGAAATCCAACCTTGAGATCCATTGTCAGTCAGTTTTGGCTTTTGTTGTTTTTTTGTTTTGTTTTTTTTTCCAAGAATGCCAAGTCAGGTGATAAAGGAACAAGACTTTATGGCTTTATTTCAAATAAAAATGGATGAATGAATATATATTACATCATAAGTCACAAAAACTCTTGTGTTCCAGTCAGATTTTGCCATCATGTCCACATTAATGTCAAGTTATTTAATCACTTTGACTTTTAGTGCTTTTACAAAAAGCAATTTTTTGTTCCATAACAAGACTCATTTCTCATTTCACAGGGGTGAACTGTGGGAGAGCACTTAGTTGCAGAGTACACAACTGAAAAAGATCTGTGCATAGGGCTTACAGCTCCTGGCTCCCAGACACACTCTGTGTTGATTAATGCACAAGGAGCATGGCAGCCTTTCCTTGCAGCACAACTTTAGGAGGAGCGTGGCCTGGTGACAGGACAGGGAGACAGTAGAGATGCTTATTGTATAAAAATTTGAGACTGGCCACTGATAAAGAGCAGCGAACCATGTTTGCTTTAAGGTCATGAAGTAGGTGAAACTGGAGATGGAACAAAACTAACTATACCTCCAACACCTCCAAGGAGAAACACGAAGCAAACATTTAAGCCAAGATGCTTACAATTTACCCATTATTGGTTGCCACATTTTATAATATAAATTTAATAGTGTCAACCACTTTGGTAAACCAGCAAAATACTTTATCTCACTGAATCAAGAATGAAAGCTCCTTGTTTTTTTTTCCCTCTTTGAAGTACATCATATATGTTCCATTTTAAAACAGAGTTCACATACAAGAAAATACCTCCTATCTTTTCGGGAACTTCAATATTTTCATTAAAATGTTGGTTTGAAAAATATCTTTAGTGTTGTCCCACTAAACCCAGGAAAATGAAAATGATCTTCACTGAACAGTGTTTTCCACTGGGGACTCCACCAGCATTCAGTTGTCTCATTTAATTATCACTTTCCTGATTCAACCATTATTCATGAGCTTCCTTGTGTTCTTAAAAAGCTCTGAACTGTGCTTGCCAATGTTATGGCACATTATGAAGCACAGTTATGCAGCAAGAAGGAGGGGGTGATAATGCATTGGTCTATACTGCTGGCATATTTTCTGTTTGATCTCAGCTGCCAGTGGAATGCAGAGCTCTTTATTCAAAATCTACTGCTGCCTCTTAAGCATTGTGCTTAGTACAATCCTTTGCATTGCTTCAGTAAAATAGAGAAATACTGAAACTGTATGAATTGTTTGCATGGAGTTTACACTAGTTTCCATTTGACTGCATTTCTCTTTTTTAATAGTGGTGAAAGAAAAGTTCCTAACAGATGCAGGGAAAATACTCTTGGGTAGATTGGAGATGAATTTTAATTGCCATCAGTTTTACCCATATTGAAGCTGGAGTATACATAATTTCAGATCTTTGTGCTTTCTCTGCCTTATTTTAATGTTTAAATTTTTAGCTGAATTTACTAGAGTAGGATTTACTAATGCTGCCAATTTACCAGTTTAGGATTTTTGCTGAAAATCCACAGTCCGAGGTAGACTAAAGATAAAGACTGAAAGTCTAAACTAAAATCAGCTGCTCTTCCAAATATGCCTCAAATCATGCTACAGCTTATTTAAAGGAGGGCAGAGCGACTGAAATGATGAAATTTCTGTTCTAAGCCACTGAATTTACTTTCTAATAGTAATCTTGAGGAAATGAGTCATTAATGAAGTTAACAGCCAGTTTGCTAGAGTGTTATATATCCTTGGCTTCACCTTAGAATATTATGTAAAACCCCATAATTTTTTAATACAGATGAATTTTTAAATTTTTAAAATTTTGCCTAAATAATAAATTGGCACATATCTACATTTCAGAATACAGTTAAGGTGGAATATTTATTTACTGAGAGTACTGCTATCACTTCTTATTTTCAGATATAGAAAGCAAAAGCCAGAATAAAATCTCAGCATGTTTCTTAGCAATCTTGCATCAAGTATATATGAGAATAAAAGCTGATGGTCCTAAATTCATGCTAGGGTAAAAGGAAATACCTACTAACACTTTTTACACAGCCTGGCTGAAACATTTATTATTCCAAATTCATCTCTATAGAATGCAGTTCCAATAAATTCAGCACAGTTGCTACACTTGTTATGAATTCACTTGCTATGAATTCACTTGCTGTGAATTGGAAGAACTGCTGTAACCAGGATGTGCCAACAGAGCCAGAGCTGGGGCTGCTGCACCACCTTTGTCCCAAAGACTTCTGGCCTCACGGAAAAGCCATTTGCACAAAACTTGTGTTTCACTGAGTGAGGACTTCAGGAATAACTTCCATGCCACAGACCATTTCCAGCTCTGTAACATGTTTTGTAGAGAAAGATACACAGCAAGTCACACTAAGAAAGACGGGAATGGAAAGATTAGGTTTTAAACATAAAGCCCCAGTAAGTTCACACTGTGTGAGTTGTCTTTGGAGATTTTATCTTAGATTTCTAATAAGATAAGTAAAAACTTTGCTACTGGTGCTTTAGAAAAGGACAAAGTAAATTATTCACTGCTGATAAATTTCAAATTAGTCTTACTTTGTCTGAAAATTATGCCTTAATTCAAACAAGTCCCTGTGGAAACTGTATGTATTTCATTACAAGTCAGTGTAATGATCCTTTCTTTATGTATACTTCATAAATATGTTTTTCTGCAGATTTTTTCATCATATCTAATGAATGCTGATTCCATTATTTTGTTCCTAATTTTTGAAAAGAAAAAGTATTTTGCTTTAGTTTTGCTAGTCAACTAGTCAAATGTGGTTGACTCAGTGATTTTTTTTATTAGTATTCATAATGTTTAATGTAACTTTAGGGTCTGTTTTATATTCAAAAGTTGATCTTTAGGATCAGATTTTCTTCTTTTTATAAAAAAAAATAACATAAAGTACAGCAAATCCAGAATTCCTTGGTATATATGTTTTTGTTTTCGGTATTCAATAATTTTTATTTTTTAATGCAGGATATGCAGTTCAATATAACTAATATATGGCATTGTTTAAATTCTGGTTTGATATGTGAAAGAAATCTTAGCAAGTACACCAAACCCCTATATAATCTGTTCTTTAATTTTCATTTGATTACACTTACAAGGCAATATTAGGTATGGAAGGTGCACACGAATTACAGAAAAATTACACAAGTAACAGCTTCAAAGGCTGAAAGTACCAAGGAAAAGAGAGGTCTATTTCCAAATGTCACACAATTTCTTTCCTCTAGGCATTGTACTTTATTTCACTTATGAAGATTTATGTTTTCACAGCTTTTCTTCCTAAGACACCACATTTTAAACATTAATTCTCAGTTTCACCAATTAATATTTGTTTAGCTGAACCTAAATTTAAAATGCCATCAGAATAAAATATGGGATGACAATTGCGTAAATCCCCAAATGTCACTAAGGTGAGTCTTTAGCTTTGCCAGTTCTTAAATGGCTTGACCATATCACATATGGTTTTCATTTTGTCCTGATACTTCTTTCCTTTCCCTTTCCCTTTCCCTTTCCCTTTCCCTTTCCCTTTCCCTTTCCCTTTC